GCCAGTTGATCTCCAGGTATGGAGGTCTCAAATGGATTCATCTGAGATGAGGGGAGCGAATTCTCCGACGTCTTCGGTGGGTGTCGAGCCGGACACTGAGTTGGAGATTGGAGACGAAGATGATTGGTCTCAGAATGTGAGTGGGAGCAAGTCGACGAGGAAGATGGGGCCAGGGAGTCCGATATCATCTGACATGGAGGACTTGGTGCCGCCGAGTCGGAGCGAGTCGATTGTGACATCGGACTCAGGGATTGACAGAGATTGATTGGTTGTGGATGTATCTCACTATTTGAATGCAGGTATGAATTTTTGACTCTTTAAAGATTTCTTTTTGCTATGGACAGAAGTATACAAAGATGGTTTCCTTTCATCGAGCGTAGAAATCAAGCAACATAGTGTACCAGTCGTAATCGTCATCGTTCGATATCAGAACTCACTTAGATATCCTGTGTTATTATACAGCTTTGTACATAATGCTTCTCTAGGCAGACTTTTGCCAATTCCTCGGAAATCATTCATTGATATGATTGCTCAGTTAAAGTGGTAATGATAGAAGATATTCGATATTCATTGAAGTAGCACGACTATAGTAGTTACAGTATTTCTAATTATGCAGACGCCTTTGAAGACGCGGGTCGATGTGGTAGGCCAAAATGTTAAAGCCAGTGGACGGGTAGTCAAGGCCGAAGCCAAGGATGAGACTGGCAGGTCTGTTAAAGCCGGTAGTATGAAGCCAAATAGGCTCGGGTTTGCTGCGTCCTCAGAGGGGATCGCAGGCTTCAGCTGGAATTTTTTTGTAGATGCCCAAGCGCTCAGCTTTGAAAGCAAGTCACCAAGCTGGTAGTGGAAGTGCATATAAGCATGAGACTAGATCGTCCCCCGCAAATGTGGATTGGTTGTCCAGGGTTTATGCGCCCCTGAAGAACTTGAGGAAGCCAGAAGTGGACTTCTTTTGGGAGTTTCCGCTGGGGGAGGAAGGACGGAGCGTCTGCCAGAGCTGCTCGTACGTCTCGTGGGTTTCCCGAGGGGAAGATGGGGTAAGAGTAAACAAGCCAAGAGTGGCGGAGGATGAAGCAGAGTAGGAGTTGTAGGTGGAGTAAGACATCTCGATGATGATGACGTTGAATGGAAGCAAGTAGTAGTAGGGATGTGGATTGAAGCTGAAAGCTCGAGAGAGTAAGACTGAAGATGACTCTGAATGCGAGATGCAAAAGACTGCTTGGGTCTGGGATTCATGCTTGGAATTGGGCCACGATATATACTCTTCACGAGAAGTGCGATTGGGATAGAGTGATTTGAATGGGTTGAGAGGGAGGTAAGCGAATTTTCCATCTTGGGCGGGTCAATCCGTCGAATACTGGTGATTTTTACTTGGTAAGGAGATAGGTAACGTTAGCCAAGCGGTGGGAACATGGTGACGGTTGCAAAGGGGTAGTCTAGGCGACAATGAGGCAGGACGATTGGGGACAATGCATGAGGAGGAAGGCGAGCCAGCCATAGTTCGCTCAAAAAGGAAGTTTCGTTGTTGTAGTGTATTTGCGTCCGTAATATTTATAGTAATATCCGAGTAATCCTATATATTAAGATAGCTCAGTGCCGTAATTTTTGATTATATAATATGACTAAGCAGAGGTCTCCTGCTCAAGGTGAGCCATGTCGGGGCCAAAGGCCCCGACGCAAGCATCAGCTTGTATCTGGTAAAGTAAATCATCTTCAGTCGTGTAGATAGCATAGAAATTAGTAGGACCTGTAACTATTAACCGGCCTCAACATACAGCGGACGAACTGGGATCAGTTGACACTCGTGCGACACGCCTAGCTTGCACAGCGACATTTTCTTCGACCATCTTGTACTAGTTACATATATAATTGCAAATGAGGCGATACGATTCGACTACTACTACCTTCACAATGGAATTAGACGCTGATAACTGGCATAAAGAATTATGTTACAGAGGGACATGAGTCTAGGATCTTTTAGAGTAATCGCTGGGTTTTAAAATTGTTTTAACAGGAAGACTCGGAGATCGAGATACTTGTACGCCAGTCAGAATCAGACGTAGAGCGGTAATGAACTCTTGCTTTTCTTCGAGAGAGAATAGAATTTGGCCTCAAGAAGTGCCAGCAGAGAACAAGTAAATCACCGAAGAGATGCATGGGAACCTTGATGGAACTTTTGCAAGTGACGTTACATCGCTGTCCTTACAAGTCGACATCCATGACATGACCAACACGCCGCCAAATCTTTCATACCTCACTATATACAACCCCACTTTACGCCCTACTGGCCCTATCCCAGACGATGACGATGATGCAGAAGAACAAGCCCAGATCCTCTTTTACACTTCCAAAGAACGAGCGGTGTCGCGCGACCGAATGCTAAGGCAAGTCGGCCTAGCAAAAGCGCTCGTCAGTTTCTCCGAGTGCGTATTCCAATCGCCTCCTTCCCCTAGTTCTTGCAAATCCTGAATGAGCTTATCCATCATTCATTCTCTTGTTTCGGATAGGATGTTCAACACGGAAGATACTTGTGAGAATGTACATTCGCAGACGAGGAGAATGATTATGGTTTCTCCAGAACCAAACTTTTGGATACACGCTGTAGGTGGAATTTCTCGGGCTCTCTGGTTTATCATGTCATTGATTCAGTAGAATGGACCAGGGAGTGGAGGTTGGCAAGACCCCTAGAACATCTCTGTCGTCTACAAAATCGAAAGTAAAGGGCAAGGAAAAGGAGAAGATGAAAGGGAAAGAAAAGGACCAGAGTGGTGTGGTGTATGATTATAGTGATGCATCTGTTCACGACGTTGCTCTAAGGGCAGACATCATGAGAGGTTATGAGAAATTCAAGGTATTTCTAAAGGCCTTTGGCGTCTATGTATCATTGAGAGGTCACATCTCATACTCAGCTCACCCATGGATCATTCACTACCATCCTCTCAACTTTGGGACAACAAGCGTTAGAACTTCAACTGGAACGTTTCTTTACTGTCTGGGCGTGGTCATGGAATCTAGAAGACGGGACTGAGTTCGGGGATCACTTGGGTGCGTTGCGATTTTCATCCCTTATCTGAAGTGACTCATGTCATATATCGCAGGACGAATACCTTTACATCCTGAACACCATTCCAAAGCGCCAATACTGGACGAGTTAAGTCTAGAGATACCCAGTTCCTTGATACCCATTGCTTTGACCCCCACTCGCGTCATACCGTCGGCCCGGTTTGACGAATTGGATATTCCTCCTTCATTGCTCCCCTACCTCGCCACCTTAATCCATCCTCCACCAAAGTCAGAGCCAGTAGAAGAATCTTCCTCTGTAGAGCGAGAAGGAAGTTCTAGGGAAGAATCTACCGATCCGTCTGGGAAAAACCCGAGTGATGTTGGGGAAGGATTGTCACTACTGCCGGGTCACGGATCGCTGATGGGTTTAAATCTCAATATGAATGTTAATATGGACGTGAGGAAATGGAGTTGGCCAGGATATCTGACGTTTGGGAAGAATTCGAAGAAGGGATCGAGTTCGTCGACACCTTTTCCCGAAAAGACGACGCCGCCAGAGTCGGAGTCCGACCCGGGAACGGGAGACCAGGAGCAGGACAAGGACAAAGGCAATGGTGATGGAAAATCAGAGGAAGAAGCGTCTGAAAGTGTATCAGTGTACGACAGCTCTCAGCAGCTGGATGGTACAGTGGACCAGGATGCGTTGGACGATGCGATGTCGTCTATCACTCCTAGGAGTGAGATAGCACAGTCACCTATTGCAGAACCATCAGAACAGGATATCAAGCCCAGCAATAGGTCATTCACGACTTCTGAGTTAGATAAAGACTCAAGTAGCAGATTCTCCACCCTCGACGCTGTAAATACTGCAGAGCTAGATCGTCCCTCAAATCCTCCTACAGCTTCGGCATCTCCACTGCCATCGCCACTTCCTCCTCCGGAGCTCTCTGTTGCTACCATCCACCTTTCAGAGTCGCCGGGCTCGACCCAAACAAGGCGGAAGAGGGTTCTTTACATGACTGTACGTGATAGGTCTCACTCGACGAGGTTTTTCTTTTACTTACAGCTTGATCATCTTAGGAATTCCCCTTCATGTTTGCTCTGATATGCTTAGACGATGAAGAAGACTTTGACCTCTCTGATCTTGCTGTGAAAGTGAGCGGTGTCCTTCGGAAACTGGGGATCCCATCCAATGGCTCTGTTGCGAGGTTTGATATTCTTCATAAATACACGGTACTGGTCCCTAACGCGCGTTCTCTCTCTCACCTTTCTTAGCAGTTCATCAGACACAATAGCAACAGCGACCAAGATCCTTCAACCCAATGACCGTCATATCATCTCGTTACCCCACTACACTGTTCCAAGTTCAGACAGATTTTCGTCGAAATCAACACACTTATTTAATGCTCAGCAGTTGTTGGGCAACAGTAGGCTTGATATCCAAGAGGTTTTCACAAAAGGAATGAGTCCTCAACATTGGCATGTAGGTCGGAAAATGGATATGGTTGGGAATAATAGTAATGAGGTGAATGGAAGTCGCAGTGGGGAGGTGTTTATGGAAGTGTTCAGGAAGGAGGCTAGTCTGACTGATGTAGATAATGGTTTAACTGGGGTAGTTAGACGACTGAATGCGTAGAGTTTGGATCTAGACCAGTCTTGTCAGGTTTCTCGCATCATTCATTAAACCGATCACAGAATAAACATCACCAGCGGGATTGCTTTTGAGTGCTGTCGTCTGTCTCGTTTTTAGCTTCGGCCAGAGGATGTATGTGACTTGCCACATCTTTATTAAATAATGATAATAATGATAGTCACGAAGATAACTATTTTTTGTTGCTTCCTGTGTTGACAGGTAAGTACATCGCAAGGAAGTCGACCTCGTCATTACACCGGCTGAAAAATTAGAACTTGGTATATGTACTTAGAGTAAAGACTAGGACGCTCATTTTCGTACATGCTTGATAAAAACAAAAATGAGACAGACGGGTCTATTCCATGGGCCTGACCGGGAATTGAACCCGGGACCTCCTCGATGAGTGCATTATGTAAGGCCCTAACAAGGAATCATACTACTAGACCATCAGGCCACGCTTGCTTATGGTCATAGAACTTTCAGGAGCTGCAAACAATTAGTTTAGTCATGCTTACCTGACGACAATAAGCTTGTACACGACTTGAACTAATACCCTCACCACAACCATGGCGTCCTCGTCTTCCGAAGCTCAACTTAAAAGTGAGATCGCCAGACTGACCGGTAATGATCCGCTCTTTTTTCTCCCACCTAATATCTGCTCATTTGCTTATCTAGCGTCTATCAATACGCACAAGTCCAACATGAACGCTCAACCGTCAACAGCATATCCTGCCAGGAGAAGCACATATATCAACCCCAACTATAATTCCGTAAACAATAAGTATATACGACCAACTACCACATTTCCCAAATCCTCCAGACCAGTTTCCCAACCAGGGGCTTCTTCGTCTCAAGTCAAAGAAGTCGTTCTTGGTGGGGTTGCATTTCAGTCATCCGGTCGCTCTTTAGTTCGCAAAGATTGTGAGTTGCCATTTAGATAACTTGTTGAATTGTTTTCAATTTGTGTTCTAGTACCAAAGCCACTTAGTGCAAGTTCCAGTAAGCCAGTTACACCGACTCCAAGCACGACACAAGCACCGTTCGTAAGAAAAGCTGGCCATCTCATTTCAACACACCGAACATACAAGCCAAAATCTTCGCGCGGTCGTCGACCGGCCAATCGCAACATGACTCTTACGAACAATCGAAGGCCTTATCAGTCCGTCTGGTCCTTGGATTTGGACACGTCTTTTTATCTAATCACCTCCCGACAGAAGTCGCCGTTCCAGCAAACGTATGAAATATTCAGACAAGCAGTGTCCTCGTTTTTCGACAACAGGTACGACACCATCGTTCAGAAGAAGACCTCCTTCAGAGCGCACCACCTCTGATCTTTATTCACCATCCCAAACTCTTTTTTCCGCTTCCGAATTTTTTAGGTTCTTGCTCTCATGGTTTGACTTGCATGTACCAGCACGATCCTGCCAAGATTGCTATCTGCTGGAATTTCTTGCAAGATAACTGCTCCAAAACTGCCGATACCTGCAATTTGTCTCATGATCCTACCCCGGAACGCACTCCCATCTGCTTACATTTTATGAACAAGGGTCGATGCACTCGTTCCAACTGTCCTTTCCCGCACGTAAACGTTGGCGAGCGTCTTGGCGTGTGTCGTGATTTTGCTGTCCTCGGATACTGCGAGAAAGGTCTCGACTGTGATAAGCAGCATGTTAGGGAGTGTCCTGACTTTGCTGAGAAGGGTACCTGCTCGACCAAGGGCTGTAAGCTTCCTCATGTGATTCGAGCAAATCGTAACAGGAAGCCTGCATCTTCCTCTGCAAAGCCCACTTCAACGTCTTCGGATTCAGCTCCTTCAGGTGATTCTCGCGTGCAACGTGTGACCGCTAATGATGCCCAGCTGGGCGATGAGTATATTTCACTAACCTTTAATGAAAGTGAAAGTGAAGAAAGTGATGAGGAGGAGGATGAAGAGGAGGATGACAACGACGACGATGACGAAGAGGATGAAGAAGAGGGTGATGACCCCGACCATGTCGACGATATACCCGTTGTAGGGTAGTATATAAACTGTAGCCACTAGTCATCTCACTGATTTGTGTATTATGAACGTGTCAATCTCATGGATATCGTGTCTCTTTATGTATTTGAAAAAGAAACAAACCATATAATATATCTACTCTTGTGAACTAATTTCCAACATGGCTATTCGCACAAGTGAGGAATGGGCGACGTTGATCAATGACAAGATTGCACAAGTGAAGGCTGACGTCGATCATAGCTCCTTGCCTTCTTCTCCGTTCTCTTCCCTCACGCACCCGAATCAAATATTTGCGTCTGCTATTGATCATACGCTACTAAAACCGGACGCGACTCCTGCTCAGATTGATGAACTTTGCGATCAGGCAATCAAGTATAAGTTCAAGGTAAATGAACTATGTATTACATCGTTCTAATTCTATCTTTACTCAATGCGTGCCCCGTTTAACTAGTCTTGCTGCGTCAACGGAGTAAATGTCAAGCAAGTTTCCGAAAGACTAAACGGCTCAGACAGCATTCCATGCGTCGTCATTGGCTTCCCTCTTGGCGCCGGTACGACCAATGCCAAAGTCTTGTAAGGACGCGCTTTCTCCTCTTTTTTTTGTGGTCTTGCTGGCGCAGAACTGTACAAGCATATTTAATTGGTATCTAACCTCGTTTAACGTTCTAGTGAAGCAAAAGACGCCATCTCTAAAGGCGCAATGGAAATCGATATGGTCCTCTCCATCGGTACTCTAAAATCCAAAGCCTATAACGCTGTGTTCTCGGACATTCAAGCCGTCGTCCAAGCTTGCCATCCTGTCCCTGTTAAAGTCATTCTTGAAACAGTGTTTCTGACAGACGAAGAGAAGATCGCTGCGTCGTTCCTGTCTGCTGAAGCTGGAGCTGCATTCGTCAAGACTTGCACGGGATTCTCCGGTGGAGGTGCGACAAGGGAGGATGTCACGTTGATGTGGAAGACCGTGAAATATAAAGGGGGTAATGTGAAGGTCAAGGCTAGTGCTGGGATCAGGTCGTTCGAGAAGTGTATGGAGATGTTGCAAGCTGGGGCTGAGAGAATCGGAACGTATGTTTGATTCGCTTGCATTTAGCTGCTTCCGTCCGACTTGTCAGTGGCTGAAATATCTGTCTGCCTTTGCTTTTAGGTCTTCGGGTGCTGCGATCATGCAGAAAGCCGATGTTCCAGCGGGCACTTACTGAAACGGAACTCTGCACAATCATAAAGTGACATTGTACTACATAAATCGCATATTCCGAGACGAATTTCAAAGTATATGTAGGACGAGGGGGAAATCGAAATGACGTTAAAGTTTCAAGTATTGTTCCAGGCTCTCTTTACTTGACCCAACCAAAGGTAAGAGTTCCATTAGCTCGTTCTAGGAGGAAACCAATACATCAGCACAATATCACCGATAACAGAAAGAGTGCAAAATACACACCCATATCTTCTTTTCCATCGCGGCGCCCTCTTCACTTATGGCAAAATCGCTAGGCTCGATCACCTTACTGAAGGAGACGTAGCCTCCCTTCATTTCCTCTTCTGATCCGCCGATAGCGGCGTATACCAGTTGACGACTGCCTTCCTCAGTTGTGTAAGCCAGAGCCTTTTCCATTAGAGGATTGACAAGTCGTGCCAAACCGGAGAGGTCGTTCCTCAGCGAGCTCTTGCAAAAACCGGGGTTGAGCGAATTTACAGTGATCTTGGGTTGTAAAAGCCTGCTTTGCAAATCTCGGGCAAAGAGGACGTTAAGCACTGTCAAGGTAGTTCAATTTAGCCTTATCTCATCTGCAACTCGAACAAGAAAACCTTGTTCATACGTTTGGAATCACTGTACTGGCCCGGGACGGATCTAAAGTATCGAATTTAGATGTCTTCAAGCGGGATATGAAATTGGAGTTGAACATACGTTTTGTTGAAGTAATCCTTGCTGGATATCGCTTTCAAAATGTCGGTACCCTGGGACAACGCTGACTTCTTATCGAGGGATGCCCAATAATGCATGTCGCTGGACGTGAAAACGAGCCTAGGTGTAACCGAATACTTTTCTGCGGTGTTCATCATATGGGGCAGAAGACGGAGAGCAAGCAACGAAGGCGCTATGCTGTTGGTTTGCAGACTACCGGGAGAGCAGTTTAATCAGGATGAACGTGGCAAAGAAAGGAGATACACACATATCATGCCAGCCATCTTTGGTGGTAACGTAGTCCTTGTTGCCTGCCATGCCTGCGTTCTCAATTAATATGTCTAGTCGGTCTCCTTCCTGATCAAATTTGTCGGCGAATTTCTTGACTGAGGCAAAGTCCGCGAGATCGACAATCCAGAGCTCGATGCGAGAGAAGCCAGTAGAAGACCTCAGTTCTAATTTGACCTATGAGCGGACACAGCACTTCCAAACAACGTTGTGGTACACCCACCAGAAAGGGCTGCCTCTCCCTTTTGCTGATTTCGGCAAGCTATGATCAAACGACCCGGGTTCATGGAGGCCAAGTGTCTTGCAGCCTCGAATCCTAGTCCAACATTAGCACCCACGATGACCACTGTTTTGCCAGTTAGGTCGGCTTGAACGACGGGAGGCATTGCTTGTCGTTGTTCGCAAATGACTCGTGTAACTGTGAGAGGCGCCATCGATTGAGAGGGGGATTGGGACTGGTACCGAGAGGGACCTCCCTGCGAACTTAATATATAGCGATGAGTTGAATCCTCGATCCGTCGAGTGACGAGTCTCTGCAAGGATGATTATAACTTGCTTGGTGAAATTTACCCGCTAGGATCGCCACGAAACGTCGTTTATGTGTTTTTCAAAGTCGTTCTTACCTCAAAGTAAGTATCAAGTTGATGTCTATCTGTTCAAATTGTATTGGATTTACCTAAACGCCATTTGTAGTAACAAATAGAGTCAGACAAATTCTTTGTTCGGAATGACGCGTTGTAGTGGCAGTGGCCAGTGGCCACACAAGCATGCCAAGCGAGCACGCTTCGACTTTGTCCGAGTCGGAATTGCGCTTATAAGCAATTCAGTGCACTTTTTGCTTTGATGGTTTTCCGACTGAAACTGTATCTAGCGTGAAATTCAAGTTCACTTTCTATATGCACATTTTTTGAGCTCAACAGACAACTAGTCAGGAGGTCACCAATCGTGAAAAAGTGTTTCCGACACCTCTCGTTAATATGGGCAAGAACGGCTAATCCTGCCAATGTTCTTAATGTTCCCGATCGATTCTTGCCCATAGTGCGTCTACATAAATATTTTCTTCTCCGAGCCCAAATTTTGTGCATTGCAAAGTGAATAAGATCGACTTCAACATTTCATACAGTTCAAGTTCAAAAGAAAAAGGTGCATAAATATAAGCGCCGATAAACGCACTTCGGTTTTCCGACATTGATTCTGGTACATCTTGTAGTAACACTGTATATTCTCGTGCATATACATAGTAGGTTTGAACTCGCTTCTCAGA